TATAAAACTGAGGGAAAGTATTCCACAGCAGCGACAACCTTTATTTGAGCTAACTGGAGATGGTGTCCTTAGATACCAGGGCCGCTTATGTGTACCGTCAGTAGGAGAACTCCGTGCCAAGATTCTTTCGGAGGCCCATTATTCTAGATATGCAGTTCATCCCGGAGCGACAAAGATGTATCGGTACCTTCGACAGATCTATTGGTGGAATGGAATGGAAAAAAGATATCGCGGAGATGGTTGCCCAATGTCCCAACTGCTAGCAAGTTAAAGCCGAACATCAGAGGCCTGGAGGCCTAACTCAGTGTATTGAGCTTCCATTATGGAAATGGGACATAATAAATATGGACTTCATCACTGGTTTGCCTCGCACTCCACGGAGGTATGATTCTATTTGGGTATTTATTGATAGGCTTACAAAATCTGCTCGTTTCCTGTAGTCAGGACAACATATTCAGCCGAGGATTATGCCAAGCTTTACATTCGAGAGATTGTTCGCCTTCACGGAGTGCCATTATCTATTATCTCTGATCGAGGGGCTCAATTTACAGCATATTTTTGGAAATCCTTCAGAAGGGTCTAGGCACGCAGGTAAATCTTAGCACCGCTTTTCATCCGCAAATTGATGGACAAGCAGAGCATACTATTCGGACAGTTGAGGATATGTTACGTGCCTGCGTGCTATATTTTAATGGAAGTTGGGATGATCATCTACCTCTTATTGAGTTCGCTTATAATAACAGCTTCCAAGCTAGTATTCAGATGGCTCCTTACGAAGCACTATACGGGCGGAAGTGTAGGTCGCCGATAGGTTGGTTCAAGGTCGGGGAAGCAGAGTTTCTAGGTCCTAACTTAGTCCAGCAAGCAATGGAAAAGGTAAAACTTATTAGAGATCGGCTGCGTACAGCACAAAGTCAGCAAAAGTCTTATGCAGATGTTCGACGACGAGACTTAGAGTTTGATCTAGAAGATTGGGTTTTCCTGAAAGTATCGCCTATGAAGGGCGTCATACAATTTGGAAAGAAGGGGAAGCTCAGCCCCAGGTATGTTGGACCGTATAAGATTATTCGGAGGATTGGTAGGGTGGCGTACGAGCTTGATTTGCCTTTAGAATTGGAAGCAGTCCATCCTGTGTTTCATGTATCTATGTTGCGGAAGTGCATTGGAGATCCTTCACGTATTACGCCCATTGAGGATATTCACATTGCTGAAGACTTATCTTATGCAGAGGTACCAGTAGTTATTTTAGATCGGCAGGTAAGGAAGCTTCGAACTAAAGAAGTGGCTTCCGTGAAAGTGTTATGGCGAAATAACAACATCGAGGAAATGACCTGGGAAGCTGAGGAGGAAATGAGGAAGAAGTACCCCCACCTATTTACGACTTAAGGTGAGTCGCATTTAAATAATTGCCAATTATTTCTTTACAGCAACTTAATTGGATTTTAAATGACTTGAAAGTGCAATTTAAATTTCTTATTGCGAGATAGCTATACGAAGCCTAGTAGTTGGAATCTTCAGAATTTGATTTATGCTTTGCAAATGTAACAAATATAGCCTCGCAAATAACGTATTAGCGGACAAGAAATGAAACCAAAGAATTGACTTGACC